CAGGAATGAGATGGTGTCTCAGAGAGCTCTTTGCAAGGAGAGGTCAGAGAGGAAAGGTCAACAGGAAAATGTTCTCACAGAGCCTGCGGGCCCTCGTGTCAGAGGGTGTGGACGGCCTGGCGTCTTTCTCAGTCTCAGTTTAGCACATGAGGGCCAGGAAAGGATCCTGGGACACCGCCCCGGGGGATGGAAGAGGCCGGGTAGGCTCCCTGGCAGCAGCGGGTGGTGGCAGAACTGGGCTCCCAAGGCTTTCCCCTCGGTCAGGCGCCCCTGCACCTGCGTTGATCCTGGTGCGCGGCCTCCGTCGGCCTCTGGCCTTCCGCCGGGTGACTGCCCATTTTGGATGTGCCTGCGTGCCACCCCGGGACCTGCAGGGACTAGTTAGCGCTCCGGGAGGGGCGCTCGTGTATCTCTGTGTGGGCAGAGTAGCCACTAATGGCATCCCACACGGGGTGCGCGTCTGCCCGCTCCTCCATTGCTGTGGTCACACCCTCCTGGTCAACTCCTCCTGAAGGAGAGCAAGAGCCACCGAGGCCTGGCGGGGGGCCTCTGCCCGTAGGCAGACCGAGTGCTCCGGATCTGTGTGGCTCCCGGTGAGAGCCCAAAGTCTCGTCCAAGGGCACGCATCCTGAAGGAGGGTGGTGATCCTGCAAGCGCCCTGATGCTTGTAAACGGCAGGGTTTTCATTTGCGTATTAAACGTGTTTGGGGGATTTTGAGTTTATTTCACGTCATGCAGATGCCTCCTGGTGCAGCCGATCACTGGTACTCGGGGCCTCCCTGGAGGGGGTTTGCATCGAGTATCGGGGTAGTGAATTATGGGTCATGCTGGGATTGTGGTGTGCTGGAAGCAGGGCTTTTGAGACCCGATTTTTGAAACCCAGAAGGTGGGGAAAGTCCTTGCAAGGCATTTCCTTGTGGTGGTTGTTCCCTCTCCCTGTGTTCTGCTTCTCTGAGGGCAGAGACTCCCTTGCAGGAAAGAACCTGGTGCTGATAAGGGTGTGAAGGGCTCGCTTTGTACAGGAGGGGAGGTCTGGGTACAGGCCCTGCACGGTAAGTAAATAACACTTGTCAAAAGGGGGTGGGTGCGGGGTGCGGCCGCGGTTACGAAATATGCAGCCACGCGCTGATCTGCCCGTGAAGAGAGACCATGTCTATAGCAACGTCTGTTTATCAGCAGACTGCGTAAGCAGCCTGTGCTTATTGATTTGAGAAAAACAGGTTTTGCCTCGCCATACCTGAGGACATAAGTTAGTGTAGCGTTGTCTCCATGTGACTGGGACCGTTCTTCCGGAGCTTCCTGGCTCTGGCTCTGGCCACCTCTGCTGCACAGAGCTGGGGCCACCATCTGCGGTGAGACTGGCTCCAGCCGGGAGTTCACTGGTGTGTGGCGTGTGACTGTGTGTGTGTGGGAAGGCATACCCAGTGATTTTTGAATGTGTGCTTTTTCTAAATTACTTATTTGCTTTTTTTTTTTCTTTGAGAGGTTTTGCCTTAGGGCACATGCGCTCACCAAAGGGAGAGATAGAGAGACTGAGATCCCCAGGGGTACGGCCACACCACAGTCTCTTCTCCTCCTGGGATCTTGGGCGCACGCATGCACACACACACACACACACACACACACACATACCCCAGCGTGATTTTCAAGCTACCAGATCTGGGTCTCGAACCATGGTCAGCCATGTGGGAGTCCAGCAATGTAACCACTATGCCATTTGTTGGCCCTTCATTTGCTATTTTTGAAAGTAGGATATGCAAACTAAAAAAGTTAAGGAAATACTGAAAGAGATGGTTGTTACTCATAGCTCTCAAATGCAAAGTTTTGGTTGGTTAACTTAGCATGTTTTCCCTGCTATGAATTATTTTGATTTTTTTTAAAAACATCGTAAATTGGGTGTGAGTTCAGCCTGTCCCAGCCAGGTGTTGTGTCAACATAGTTAGAAATCAGAAGAGCTAGGGTTGGGCTCTGGGGACTCCCAGTCCTGCCTCACTGACATGCAGGCCCTGAAACTGGTCTTGTAAATGGAACTCCCGTCAGTGCCGTGGGCCAGGCGAGCTAAATCGGTTCCCCAAATCACTTACGAGGGTAAATTAGCCAAAAAATCGCCTACTGACTCTGCTCTCATGAGACTTCTGTATATGGTTATGATAACTTGGCCGGAAAATTCGAGCTGCATTAGTTTTAAGCCTGAAAACAAAGTCTGAATTAAATAGGGCTTAGCAGGAAGCTCTGTGGAAAATCTGAGCTCAGGTCCCGGGCGAGTGAGGTTTGGAATGATCGGGGTTGGCAGCCCAAGGTGAACACTCCTGTTTCGGTTTTCTGGCTTAGATTAGGTGAGCCAGGGCAAGGCCGTTCCCGGGGACTCCTGGGGCAGTGCGGTGTGCCAGATGCCACCACCAAGGGGCCTTCTGAAGTAGATGTGGCCACCATTGCTTGTCTGGGATGTCACTCCCTAAAATCTCCCTCCCTGGGGTCTAGTGGGCCTCAGTGAGTGCTTGCCCCTGGACTCGAGGGTGCTGAGTGAGCGTGTCGGTGTGAGTCGGGATCGGCATGGGACTGCGGCTGTGGAGTCGATGAGAGCTGGCACCAGTGGCTTTCTGTTTTCGTATTTCTTTCTTTCTTTTTTCTTTTTAAAGAATTATTTTAACTTTATTTATTTAATTTGGACAAGAGAGGGATAGAGTGAGAGAGAGTGAGAGCAAGAGTGAGAGAGAGTAAGAAAGCAAACCTCCAGGTCCAGGACTCACACCATAGTCAGCCACGTGGGAGTCCAGCGCCAGGCCCTTGCTTTTCTTTAAAGCACTTCCATGGGGATGGTCACACTGTAATCCCTTCTCCATTTCTCCCTCTTGGGATTTTAGGTGCACACATATACCCGGCACCTCACAATGGCCATGTGGGATCCAGTCACCTTAACCACCGGCCAGCACGACCAGTAGCACTTGAGCTCTGAGTGGCGGCAGAGAGTGGCTGCAGAGTCGAGACCTGGCACCCGTGGTACCTGAGGTCTGATTCCATGCCTTCCTCCCGACGTTTAGTCTGTGGGGCTCACCCTTGCTTATCGCCATGGAGTGCAGGTGTGCGGAGCTGAGCCCCGGGTGTGAAATGGCACCCAGGGCAGGGCCGAGCCAGCTCCCTGCCTTCCTCTGCTCCTTTCACGGGTGTGGTCACCCCCCTCCCCCAGACCTCCCTGGCTTCAGCCAGGGTGCAGGCTGTCGTTTGTGCCTGAGCAGGGCCCTGTCCCTGTGGAGGTGCCTCGGGGTGGCCGAGCACTAGGGGAAGCAGTGAGGTGCCAGCACAGAGCAGGCGAGGGTTGGGGCTGACCCCAGGGCCCCCACTCAGGGCCTGCAGGACCTTGGCCAGTTAGTTACCCTTTCCGGTTTTGGGTTTTCTCATTTATAAATAGGCTCAGTAATAGATCTGTCATCGGGTCCTTTATAAAGATTAGAATGTAGGTCAGCACAGCCTGTGGTAGCTGCCACGTTTGAGGGTCAGAGTATGGATGTTCCCCCAGGGTGGATAATGGCAGCACCAGGCTCCTGGGCATTAGTGGGGTCTCCAACTCTCACAATTCCTCTCCTCTCCTTCATTCTTTATTAGAGTTTATTGATATAATTGTACACTCAATTCTCCTTTTGCATAGAAGTAGCTTTATCTCATTCTCAGCAGCTGAGCTGGTCCCTGTAAGAATCCCCTGAGCAGCTAGGCCCTCTCCCTGGAGGGCTGCGGGAGGGAGCCTCGCGGCTCCAGAAGTCCCCGGGGTTCCTTGCTGGGGACCGTGCCAGTGCTTTGTGTGGCCCTGCCCAGCTGTGCTTCTGTCAGAGTGATGCTAAGCTAGATCTCCCGCGCTCTGTGTGATCGTCCTCCCTCTTGCCGGCCATGCCTGTGTCCAGGGCGTGCCAGGCCCTTCATGAAGGTCCCTGGTTTGGTGCTGTCCTGCTCCTCTCCTCTCAGGTGTCTGGTCTTCCTGACTCTGGACAAGAGCAGACACCTTCTCTGCACAGCAGGCCTGCCAGCTCCCCTGCACTGGCCAGAGTGCTCCCAGGACGCTTCTCCAAGTCTCCTGCAGTCCTTTCTTCTCTGCTTTTTCAGTCTGCAGTGTGACAGGCCGAACCCCGAGTACCCTGTGTGTAGTGGCTTGACCTCTCTGACCCTGGCCCACATGAAGAAACGCATTCTACGCTCTGACCCAATAGAGAGACGAGAGAAAGGGAAGTGATGCCTGCAGTGAGGGAAGCCAGCGGCGGTCCTGCCTGCCCAGCGCCCTGCAGCTTCCTTTTCTGCTCTGCACCGCGTTGCCAACACTTGGTTCTGACGCTGGTCAGGCTCTTCCATGTGGGCTGCACTGTGGGTCTGGACCACAGCTCTAAAGCACTGGCTGGCGACTAGAGGAAGCATGGGGGCAGAGGAGGGGCTGACCCTGGGCAGTTAGGCTGGGGCCTGGTTGTCCTGGGCCTGTGGTTGCCTTCAGAGGCCACACTGGGCCTAGTAAGCACAGGTAGGAAGGCGCAAGCAGGAAGATACAGGCAGCCCCAGGCACTGGGGGCTCAGGCTGGGGCAGCACTGCCATGGGCGGTACCTGGGGCCCTGCAGGGAGCTGTCAGGGAATGGGGTGCTGTCATCCAGGGCAGTCTGGGCCCAGAAGAAAGAGTACTAAGGGGCCGCACACCCAATTCCGATCCTGGTTCTGGTGCTGCCTCAGGTTTTCACAGGGTGTCTGTGAGGTCCATGTGAGGGACGTGTGATGGCTGCAAGCACTGTCCTACCGACTCAGCAGAGTTTAATTCTGCTCGTGCTCTGGAGTGCCAGGAGCCCCAGAGTCCAGCGAGCCCAGGCCCTTTTCTCTGTATCAGCCTGGAGCATAAGGAAAGATGGATGGAAAAACCAACCAGCTAGTCCCCTCTGCCCAGAGCTTGGCATGGAGTCAGTGTGAGCTTGGGCAAGGTGTGGATCCTTCTTCCCTGATTGAGCCTCCTCTCTTCCAGCCCTGAAGAATGGCTGCCATGTTGGGGGACGCCATTATGGTGGCTAAGGGCCTTGCCAAGCTGACCCAGGTGGCTGTAGAAACCCACCTGCAGCGCCTGGGCTTCGGTGGGGAGCTCATCATGGCTGCCAGGGCCCTGCAGTCCTCCGCCGCAGAGCAGCTTGGCATGTTCTTTGGGAAGGCGCAGGTAAGGAGGGGTGCTGGTGGGAAGGGGGTACCTCCAGGGAGTGTGACCGTGGGCATTAATCTTGTGATCAGGGTGAGAGCCCACTGGCCAGTGTGTCCACCCTCTGCCCATGGCAGGGCAGGGGCCCTGTGTGAGCTGTGGCTGCTGGAATAGAATACCCTGGACCAGGCAGCGTGAGCAAAGCACGTTCACTTCTTACACTTCTAGAGGCTGGTCCGTCCACAGTGTGTTGGTTCATAGATGGCTGTCCTTTCACTGTCCTCAATGGCAGAAAGATGGTAGGAGTTCTCTGAGGTCTCTTTTATGAGGGCCCTACTCGCATTCATGAGACTTCACCCTTATGACGTAATTACCCCTAAAGGTCACCTCCAAACACCATCACACTGGGGGTTAGGTTTCAGGAGATGGAGTTCAGGGACACATGCATGTGCAGGCCATAGCAGAGGTCATGGGTCGCTCAGCCTGATTCAGCCTGTGAGGCTCTTCCTGCCTGCTGGGCCTCACTTTGCTCCATTTTGCTGAAGGTCTCAGCTCCTGGCTTGGGGTCCATGCTCCTTTCCAGGGTGGCAGCTGCCACAGCCTTGCCACAGGCAGCTTCACTTCCAGCTTCCCTCCTGTCCCTCATGCTGCCTGGAGGAGAAGGCAACCTTTTGTACCGAGGCTCAGATACTTCTCTTACATCCAAGGGATGTTTTTAAGCAAACACGAGTGTCGGAGCCCCATGCCATGGTGTCACCATGCACAGTTGTCAGCAACTCTCCTGATAGTCCGAGGGATGAGAGGGTTGTGTGTGTGTGTGTGCCCTGCTTCCTCACTGCTTCCATCTGACTGGTTGGCTGGTCCCCTGGGCAAAGGTTACAGCTCCTCCATGGCTTGAGGCCTTGGGGAGTCTCTGGTTTAGGGTCCTCAGACCCTGCCCCTGCTCTCTGAGGGTCCAGTGACGATGGCTGCAGTGTCGCCCAAACATGCATCCACTTTACCTTTCAGAAGTCTTTACACCTGTGCTCTCATCCCAGCCTCACTGCAGTCCTGGGGTTGGGCAGACAGAGAAACAGACTCAGCAGTTGGCTCTGTGGTTCCTGAGTGACAGGATCATAATTCTTCTCCTACTCCCAGCCAGCACTGTTCTTGCCCTTCTTCTACCGAGACTGTGGCCTGGGCATCCTCATTGGTGCCTTTCCTAGTGAAGAGCCATCACCTTTCCGTTGAGCAGTTTACCTGCAGAGCACCACAAGGCGGGGCTGCCCAGGCCACCCAGGCCCACCTGGGGTGGCAGAGCGTAACAGCCCCGTAGCCTTCTCCATAAGGGCGAGAGTGACCTCCTGCTCAGGTTCTCCCTCTGCTGCCCTCAGACACAGCTGGGCCTCAGTGTCTGAACAGAGACAGTGCCATGGCCCAGCAGCCACTCAGAGGCAGGAGGGGAGGATGACCTACCACCATGGAAGAGGCACCTGAGCTGGGGCCACCTCCAGTTTGTCCGTTCACTCCCCAAGTACTCAGTTTGTCAGTGTCTCCCTGTCCCTCCAGGGGACAAAGGTCCATGGGTCTCAGAACCTGCCACCCTCTAGCTCCTTGAGGGGATGGTTCGTATACTGCTTCAGCAACACTTGCCGGGTCCGGGTCTCATGAGGCACAGGGGACCCTTCACTGCTGTTCTGGTCTGTCGTGTTAACAGAAATACCTGAGTCTGGGTGACTTACAAAGGGTAGGGGTTAATTACATCGTGGTTTTAGAGGTCCAAGGCCACAGGGCCACACCTGGGGAGGGTCTTTCTGGTGGCTAACATGGTGGGGTGGCACTTGGTGAGACGGCAAGAACTACGTCTGTGTCGTGTCTGTCCTGGACTTTCTCCCTTAAGAAGGTGCCAGGAATCAGCCTTGGTGGTCCCACCCTATTCACCACCCAGGGACGCTACCTCCTAATCCAAAGCTGGATTACGTTTCCTCTACTACCTTCACAAAACAACCAAATCCATCACATGAACTTCTAGGGGACAGTCCAACCATAGCAGTGCCCTTGGGGTCCCATGGAACAGGCGATGCAGGGCAAGGTAGCCCCAGTGGTGTAGGGTGGACGGAGGGGCCCTGCCCAGACTCTCTCACTCAGGGGCTTCCCTGGCCGTATGAGAGGTGCCCGGTGAATGTGAATGCAGTTTATTTCTACTCTGAGAGAAGTGCTGTCAGGTGGCCTGTGGGTGGCCAGCAGGGCGAGCCTTAGCTCTGAATCCCTGCTCTGCCCCTTGCCGGCTGGGGGCCTTTATCAGTCATGGCTGCACTCTCACCCTCAGTTTCCCATTCACAAAACGACAGTGGTAGTCTGTCTCCCTCCTCCCACACGAGGGCGGGGCTCACCTCTTCGGATCCTGATGTGTTTGAAAAGCAAGCATGAGGGGCTGGCAGGTGGCATGGTGGTCAAGGTGCTGGGCTTCCACATGGCTGACAATGGTTTGAGTCTTGGACCTAGCGGCTTACTTACACTTTCTCTCTCTCTCTTTCCTTCTCTCATCAAATTAAAAATAAAATAAAATAAAATAAATAAATAATAAATAAATATTTAAAAATAAAAAAGAAAAGAAAATCAAGTATGAGGGACCAGTAGAAGACGTAATAGTTACATTGTTGGACTCCAATGTGGTCGACCACTGTTCAAGACCTGGTGGCTTAAAACTCATGCCGGGTGTGTGTGTGTGTGTGTGTGTGTGTGTGTGTGTATGTATGAGAAGAGAAGAAGGATTGCGGCGTGGCCATCCCCCTAGGGGGTGATTTCTCACTTTCTGTCTGTGAGCGCATGCACCCTCTAGCAAAAATCTCTTAAAAAATAAAACAAAACGAAACAGAAAAGCAAGTGTGAGAGGGCTTTGGCTTTCCTGCTGGGTTTCGTTTTTAGAAGCTTTTTGCCATAGGGCGTGCACACTCACTGGAGAGAGACGGAGAGGGACATATCCCTCAGGGGCATGGCCACCTCGCAATCCCTTCTCCCGGGATTTTGGGTAGGTACACTCATGCGCCTGGCATGATTTGGAAGCCACTGGGTCTGGAACTTACACCACGATCAGCCATGTGGGAGCCTAGCACAGTAACTACGATGCTACCTGCGGGGCCCCATCGCCTTCAGTTTTGCACACCTGCAGGCAGCATGGCCATGAGGATGTAATCCACTTCGGTGGACCGGGGATTTGGGCCCTGACCTGCCTTTAGGAGTTGGCGCTGTTCTAATCAGAGCCTGTGTGGCACCGTGTCCCTGGCCCTGTCTGTGGCCCCACAGGACTCTGCGACTGTGGGAGCCCTATTTTCAGAAGAGGGAATAGAGGGGAGTCAGTAAGTTACTAATGGTCACTACTGGCTCAGAAGTAGGACCTGGCCTGAAGGGCAGGTCTCAGTGGCCTTTTATAAAGGAAACACGGTGTGTCCTCTGCCCTTCCCCTTCCCCGTATGGGACAGCAGGGTGACGGGGAAACACATGCAGTGCCAGCTGGCCCGTTTGTGTGTGCCTGCCCTTCCCTGGCCTTTACCAATATGTTTACCTCTCAGAACTTTCCCATGTTTACCCTGGATCACCCTCCCCAGGGCCCTGGAGGCCTCTCCTTGGCCTTGACTTACAGGTAAGGAAGTTGCCCGGGGCAGTGTTGTCACCTGCTCTGGCCCTGGCTGGGCATGCAGTAGGTGCCCAGTGACCTGCCCAGAAAGAGCAGGGCTGAACCTTTGGAGGAGGGAGAGGGTGGGCTGGTGGTGGTGTGGCCCTCCGTAGCAGAAGGGACTTGGAGGGGCTCTGGGCTCTTCTCTGCTCCTCTCATTCTGGCCTTCGCTCCCTGCAGGGTCAGGAGAAACCAGAAGAGCCTTATGCCGAGGGCTTCGATGACCTGGAAGCAGAGTCCCACTTCTCTGGGCCAGAGGCAGAGGGAGCCTCCACGGACTTCTCTGCAGCTGCCGCCCCTGACCAGTCGCCCATGGGCCATGGCCACAGTGAGGGCCCGGCTCCTGCCTATGCTGCCAGTGGACCCTTTAGGGAAGCTGGGCTCCCGGGCCAGGCTGCCTATCCTGTGGGCAGGGTTAATGGGAGAGTCTTTGCAAATCCCAGAGACTCATTCTCCGCCATGGGCTTCCCACGAAGGTTCTTTCACCAGGACCAGTCCCCTGTGGGGGGCCTCACAGCCGAAGACATTGAGAAGGCCCGGCAGGCCAAGGCGCGCCCTGAAAGCAAGCCCCACAAGCAGATGGTGTGTCCATGAGGGTCCTGCCCTGGGGCGGGGTGTTCCCATTTGCTGTGGTGCTGGCGTCGGTGCCTCCTTCCAGGACTTTCTGGGTGCTGTGGTCTGGGGTTTTAGGAACACAGAGGCCTCTTGGTGCAGCTGCTGCCTCTGGGGGCTGGAGAAGGGATGTGGGTGGGGGCACCATGAACCCCAAAGGTTGGTCCGGTCCCCATCTTCTGATTCCACAAGGTCTCTTTCTTTTCCCCCTCCAGCTCAGTGAGCGGGCTCGGGAGCGGAAGGTGCCAGTTACGCGGATTGGGCGGCTGGCCAACTTCGGAGGTAAGGAGGCTGGTGCTCCTGTGCCACCCCAGCTGCCCTGCCAGTCCTGGCCGGGTGAGCTGAGGCACCTGGGCCTGCCTGGAGGCGGCAGTCGGTGGGGGCTCTGATATCCCAGGGAGGGCATTGGGGAAGCCAGCAGCAGTGGCTGCTCTTGCGTTAGCTGTTGGGGGACTGGACGTTTTCCACGGGTGGAGGATCTGGTTACTGATTCCAGCTCTGCCTCAGCTGACCCCTGTGGTCAGTGATGCCACGCTGTGAGCTGCAGCTTGGACTGCTTGTCAGGGCTCGCTTGGGGACCGTGACTGCAACATCAATAAGAAGCTGAGGCCCTGAGCTGCTGTCATTTAGTCACTTTAATATGCTGTAGTGTCGTGTTAGCTGTACTTTTCTCTGGAGCTTCAAATAGCCACGTGTCCAGTACACTTGTGTTCTCTTTATACGAATTGCGGGATTTCATCGTGAAGGTTTATAGCAGTAGCATCTGCTTTTATCACATTGCATTCTCCTATCTGTTGGTTATTTACTGTACAAAATGTTCCTATTGAAAATACCGGAACCAGCAGTTAGCGTAATGGCTATGTCGCTGGACTCCCACGTAGTCGACCGTGGTTCGTGTCCCGGACCTGGTGGCTTAAAATTCATGCTGGGCATGTGTGCGTGCGTGCCCAAGATCCCAAGAGGAGAATGGAGGAGAAGGGATTGCAGCGTGGCCATCCCCCCTGGGGGGTGATTTCTCGGTGTCTCTCTATCTCTCTCTGTTTGGCAAGCGCACGTGCCCTATAGCGAAACAAACCTCTCCCCAAAAAAAGAAAATACCCTCCCCCTGTAGTGTGCAGTGTTAAATGGGAGTACATGCTTTAAAGCAGCCCTTGTAGGAACTCCAGACAATTTAATAATGAGAGCAAGAGTTTTGGCAGCTTGACTCATACACTGGCCTTGGGCAAGTGGTTATGTGCGAGGCTGTTTGTGACAGGGCTGGTTAGCTTATGACAAGCGGTTCACAAGACCCACTGTCGCGTGTCTGTCTCCTACTGTGCTTGGGCTGGTTTAAAAGAATCCCCTCTGGGACCAGCAGTCAGCGTAATGGCTATGTCGCTGGACTCCCACGTAGCTGACCATGGTTCACGTCCTGGACCCAGTGGCTTAAAACTCACGCCGGGCGCGTGTGCGTGCGAGCCCAAGATCCCGAGAGGAGAATGGAGGAGAAGGGATTGCGGCGTGACCATCCCCTCTGTGGGGTGATTTCTCGCTTTCTATCTCTCTGTCTCTCTCTGTCTGTCTGGTGAGCGCACATGCCCTATAACAAAAACCTCTTAAAAAAAAAAAAAAAGAGAGAGAGAGAGAGAGAAGGAAAAGAATCCCCTCCTACCTACTGTCTGTCAAACATGCAGGCCTCTGCTGCTGCTGCTGCTGCTGCTGCTGTTGTCTTGAGAAACCTGTTCTCATTCAAGACGGCCTCTGAGCAGAGGCACACACACTGCTCCCCAAAAGTCTGGTGTTCTGGGCGCTGGGCTGATGGGGTGTTCTGACGGTGGGTGCTGGGTGCTGCCGGCTGTCTTCCCAATGCACAGAGCACGCCAGGTTGATGGGAGAGCCCTTCTTCCACTGTAAGGTTTTCTTCCATCCCTGCTCTCTTACAGCGTGGCATCTGCTGCTACTTAGCTATTCAAGAATTCAGCTTAAAATACCAGATGTGTTATAACGTAAAGTTATTTCTTTATCTTCCCTTCGTGGATTAGCATTTCAAGCCCTTCCCGGGATCCTGCTTTAGGGGAGCCAGGCTCCCAGGCCAGGCCGCCTACCCCTGGGCAGAGTTAATGGGAGGCTCTTTGAAAACTCCGGAGACTCAGTCTCATGAATGAGTTTAAGAACCACAGTCCTGGGAGCCTGTAGTGGTCCTTGTTCCCCAGAAGAACTGGTGTCCGTCTTTCTCTGCTTTGCACAGTAGCTAGTGATTGGATAATGTTTATTGTTTATGTTTCTTTATATTGTTTCAAATATGGGCTGGAGCTTCTCCTCACTGCCCCATGAATTTGAGGGCAGAAACGACCCTATGTTCACACCTATACAATTTTACATCTCTGTCAACTGCCTCTCCTTCCAGACTCTGGTGAGCCCTGATGGGAATTTGTGTGTTTTAGAGTGGGGGTAATCCTTTCCTGGGAGTCTTTGTGGGAATGGGGAAAGAAAGAGGGGGGATCCTGGAAGCTGTGTTTGGGAAATGTGGTCAGAATGGAAGTCTATTTTTAAAATACAAGAGAACACATGCACTTGTCAGAGAGAAATTGAGAATGAGAAAGCACCACCCCTTTGGGGTGTGATCACTCCACAATCCTTTTTCCTCCATTTTTTCACCCTACCTGGATTTGGGGGCACACACACATGTGTCTGGCATGTTTTTCAAGCCTAAGAAGTGGGACTTGAACCACAGTCAGCCATGTGGGATCTGGCTATGCTACAGGGCCAGCCCCAGGTTGAAAGTCCTGGTGGTGAATTAGCATTTGATAGAGCAGCATGTAGTCCTGGTGAAGCAGGCAGAAGTCAGGCCCTTTGGGTTAGTGGGTTAAAGAAGATGGTGACTGAAGTGGAAGAGGTTATATAGGAAGATGTGTAGAAAAAAGGCAACTTCAGTAAACCAGGATGGTGGGTTATGGGCAGCCAGAGGGATCCTGGGCTGAGGTGAAGAGAAGCCCTAGTCTTGCTGGAGCTTGTACCAGAGAACCCTCTTGAGCGTTCGCTGACAGCCGCCTAGCGCCTGAGCGATCCGCGGGTGTCCGTGCGCTGGAGGCTGCTCACAGCCGTGAGTCAGAGCTGCCCAAGGTGTCGAACAGCTGGTAGGTAATGGGTCAGGCTTGGAGGTAGCAGGGCGGGAGAAAAGATGGGCCAGCTCAGGAGAGAACGTGCTATTCCTACCCCAGAGAGGAATTCTCAGCTTTCTGCCTCACTCAGAAGTTTTCAAACTATAGGCTATGACCCCTTAATGACTGTGAAATCAATTTAGTGGGTCAGGACCAGCATTAAAAAAATTAATGTAATAGAATGGAATCTAACAGAAATGATCACAATTAACGTCACAGACGCTCAGAAAGAACTGCCTACAGTGCAGACAGTTTTGTTCCAGGGGTGTAAATGTACTATGCAGTGTGTTCTTCGTGGCACTGGGAAATGCGTGGTTTAACGGTGGATCCACGCTGAGCTGTCCAGATGGTTTGAAGCAGTTCTGCTCTGCTTTGCTCTCCTAGAAAACACCATGTGGGTGAGATGTTTTTGAAGTACACACTGTCAGGCTTAGGAAGTTTTTATACTGAAGGTATTAAAGGAAGGGATTGCTCTAAACCTCAGAAAGGCAGGGCTGCTACAGGGACCCAGATACGTATTTGCAGGGGTGAGCAGCAGATACTCAGTTGTGAGGAGGTAGAAGGTAGGGGCTTTCTCGGTTCAATGGCTTATTTATTGCAGAAATGGAGACAAGAGTCCCAAGTCCAGTATGGCTATAATACTGTGGGTGGGTGATCTGTGGATACTAGATTTTGTTAAAGAATGGTGTGAGGGGACAGCAGATGGCCTCATGGTTAAGGTGCTGGGCTCTCACGTGGCCAACCACAGTTTGAGTCTCGGACCTGGTGGTGTGAAAATCACACTGGACACATTTGAGTGCATGCCCAGAATCCCAAGAGAAAGGGAAAGAAGGGATTGTGGTGTGACCATTCTCCCTTTGGAGGTGATTTCTCACTTCCCCTCTCTTTGAATCTCTCTGTCTCTCTCCCTTCTGGTGAGCACAGGTGCCCTAATGACAACCCCCACAACCAAAAAAAAAAAAAAATCGTGGTATAAAAGATAGAGTCTTGCATTGGATTTTGGATCAGAACTGAACTTTATGTTATCATAATGTCTGGGTTATAACTCCAGCCCTGCTTCCTATGTGACCTTCGCATAATTTTAGTTTTATCTTTTGTAAAACGGGTATGGGCATTGACTCCAAGTGGAAAGATTACGGTGACTGTTGTGTGTGTACCTAGACAGAGTTCTGATGTTGGGCGCAGTAATATATGCATTGTCTAGTCTGCTTTGTTACTTACAGCGATCATATCTTTCACAAGTTCTTGGTTTCGTCTATCAGCTTCCATGATTGTGAATCTACCTACTTCTTTTAGTCTGTTGATTTGTGCTTTATATGTTTTGAGGCCATTATTGGCTGCCTACAGATTTAGCATTCTTATCAACTGCTGGAAATGGAAACCTTCATTATTATAAGTTGTCTGAAAAGTCATGATGCATTTTATTTTTTTTAATGGAAAAAGTATGTCACAACTTTTCCAACAACTCAATATGCTATGCCTCTCTTTACCTCTGTGGAAATCTACATCGTCTGATATTATCATAGCTGTGTTTCAGCTTTTGGGAGGTTATATTTATATGGTATTTATTTTCTCTTTCTACTTTCAACTCTTTAATGCCCTTGTATTGGAAGTATATTTTTTGTTAGTAGTCTTTCTAGGTATTGGTTGTGTTTTAAGTATAGATCTATAATCTTAGGTTTATAATGGGAATCTTTAGTCCATTTATGTATAATTAAATTGCTGATATATTGAGGTTTATATCTACTCAGTTTTAGTTTTTTAAATAATTATTTAATTTAATTTATTTACTTTTATTATTCAATTTGACCAGAGAGAGACACACAGAGAGAAAGAGTGAGAGTGAGAAGGCAAGCTACCAGGCCTAGGACTTGAATCATGCGGGAGTCCAGCACCCCAACCACCAGACCACATGCCGGCCCCTAGTTTTAGTTTGTTATTTGATTCATCTGTTATGTTTCCTTTCTTGGTTTCTCTCCTATCTTACCTTCTTTTTTAGTTAATCAAGTACTTCTTTTGCTTTTTTATTTTTTGGCCATAGGGTACATGTGCTTGCCAGAGAGAAACAGAAAAAGAGAGAGAGGGAAAGTGAGAAATCACCCTACCGCACACCCCCAGGGGGATGGCCACACCACAGTCTTC